TATCAAACATCCTGCAAGCCCCCTCTTCAAAAGACCCTTCCCAGTAATCAAGATCTAAGAAGAAGATACAACAGACAAATGGACTTCCTCATCCTGAGAACTGTGATTGATTTTACCTCATCTGACAAGACAAACAGCATGTTTTATAATTATTGCTTCCATGCTTTGTACACCCTGTTCCTTAAAGTAAATTTTTTACTACCCCTCACCCTCCTTACTTCCTAAACCTCCCTCAATAAATACGCATGTTTTAATAACCACGGCGCGGCGGCCTGGAGCTGGCTCTGGCTGTGGCCGGCTGAGAACATGCTAAGGAGCAATGAGGTCTCAGTCTAATTTCTGTTCCGGATCACCCGTGTCACCTTCCTGTGTACGAGCCACCCTCCACTGCCGAGGCTGGACCCCAGCAAGCCGCCACCACATACATGCCAGGACAGCTAAACAGCAAAACGAACTGGCACTAGCAAGTACTTGAATGAGGATGCGGAGCAAAAGGAACTCTTGAACACGAGGGCGAGGGAGGGGGGTGCAAAACTGTACATTCATTTGGGAAAATCTCTCAGTTTCTTATAAAGTGAAATACATGATTATGCTAAGGTTCTTAATCTCACGCCTAGGTGTTGACTCCAGTGAAACGAAAATGTGCGTACACGCACACACACACACACCTTTAACATGAATGGTTACAGTAGCTTTGTTCATGGCTGTCCCAAACAGGACACGATCCGCATGTCCCGCAACACATAAGTTTAATAAATGAACTGTGGTACATGACAGAGTTCTCCTGAGCAGCGAACCGTACAGATTAAGGATTTACACTACAAATGGATGGGCCGTAAGCGTACTTTGCTAAGTGAAGGAGTCAGGCAGCAGACTGCATGGCTCTATTTACGTGAGATCCTGGGAGAGGCTAACTCCAGGGTGGGAAACCATCAGTGGCTGCCAGGGTTTGGGAACGGAGAGAGGAAAGACTACAAAGTGGCAGCGCTGGGGAACTGGGGACCTGCTGGTGGTGCATACATGACTCGATGCAGTTTTCAGAACCCAAAGAACTACAAAACAAGGAGTGAATTTTACTACGTATAAAAAGCAAGCCAACACACAAACCAGGGAGACCAGAGATGGAATGCAACTGTAACCCAGGAATCTAATTGTGTTCTAAATAAATGACACCGTGGAATGAGCAGATATGAGGGAAAAGACCTGATTAAACCAAGTTTAGTAAAGAGCACTGTGGCTAAATACTGTGAGACTAAAGATAAAAAGACACATGCACGAGCTGTCTTCTGCTGGGAAAATGTCTTTCCCACAAGAGTACAAGCACTTCTTAGAACTACTGATTATATATACAAGTAGGTAAATACATTGTAGATAGTGAAAAGTTTCTCACGGTGGGAGAGAGATGTTAAAATAAGCAAAAAGGGAATGTTAGAATAACCCTTGTGTTAGATTGCAGTTGGAGGTGGCGGTATGAGCTAAGTGTTTAAATGCGTATTTCCTAGCTGAGTGCTGAAAGGTCGACAAGCAGCAACGAGCACCTAGCACCTAGGTGTTTACTAAATCCTGTTCCCCAATGAGATGGGTCTGGGGTCCTTGAGGAAGTGAGTGGTTCCAGAGCTGGGGAAGGAAAACACAAGATGATCCTGGGGCATCCTGTAGAGTCAGAAACTGCTTTAACAAAAGAAGAAAAAAGGACAATGCATGTTCAAAGGACACAGAAGCAAACTTAAAAAACACTCCCAACGGCCAGAGCTGAAACGATTTGAGCGACAAAGTAAGTAACAAGAGCCATGATTCTATAATACGGAGAGTAGAATAAGTGCCCTTGAGTTCCCAATGGCATAAATAAGTGATCAAATAGTAATAAAGGTGGGGAGGACTGTTCTTCCTTAGGAAATAAAATATGTGAGTTAAAGACAAAGACCGAATTTCTTCTTTAAATAGAATATACTGCTTATCTTTTAAAGTATATGTGACTGGGTAAGAAAGGATCTGGATGGACTTGTTTTGGAATTGTGTCTGTCTTTTGGAGTATATAAAGTTTTAAATGAAAACGTTCTAACATAAAACTATGTTTAGTGGTTAAAGGTAGACTTAGGTTTAAACCTCTTTGAGATTTATATTGAATCACTTCATATATTGTAAACCCCGTGATACTAGAACAGACACTAAAAACATGTAACTGTTACTCTCAAAATATTACTGGTTCTGCTTGAATTTCTGAGGAAAAGTAAAAGTGATTACATATAAGCATGTGCATACTTTTTAGAGCAGGAACAAGCCTGACCTTTACATATGAATTTTAGCTTTTAAGACCTAAGCAAAATGAAGACTTCTCCTAGAAGTGTTTGGCATGTAACTGTTCACACCATTAAACCTTGTTTTCAAAGTACATGATTCCAGAAAACGAATTCCTCCTCTGAGAAAGAATACGGCCCTGTCGCTCCAAGAAGTTAGTCTCAGCAGAGGTACACACATACTTGCATGCGTGTTCATGCACGTTCAGTTTTCTAATTAGTTGTTCAACAACAACACCCCCCCAAAACATGCGTATATTATAATGACACGATATAGTAGGATCGTCTAATTCAGATCCAGGCCAAGGGTCAGCAAACTTTCCTACGAGGGCCAGATTTTAGGTGAGTGAGCCACAGAGGTAGCCACAGATGAGCTGGAATGAGAGTGTGGCTCTGCTGCAGTGACATTTTCCCTCCCGGAGAGGTGGCTAGCCTGGGGCCACAGTTTGCTGACTCCTGCTCTAGGTAAGAGTTGATCTCAGTACAGAGCACCTTGGGTGAACACACAACCAAGTTTCCCTTGCACCTGGTAGTTTTTACAAGACACACAGCCGTTTACATGGTAGAGGCACCCTGAAAATATCTTCTGAGGTCAGACTATTAGCTCAGACCTGGAAATTAAAATGTGTTAATAAAGCATAAATTAAAATATACTTTGATTAAATTTTATTTTAAAAATCTTACCTTAATCAAATGAAAGAATCTAAACTCTAATACATCTCTGGTTGCAAGTCAAAGTATATTTGAATTGAAACTTCGGTTTCTTGTCGAATTCCTAGAGAAACAAAATTGAAAACCTGTAAGGTTTCAGCTCTAGGTAAAATGGAGTAATCACGCTGCACCCCTTCTCTCCAAGTGAACGGGGTTGCAGGACCCTGACAGAGTGCACGGAGCGGGTACGCAACTCTGAGAGGTGAACAGCAGCAGGTGGGCTGGGTAAGAGAACCTGAGTGCTGCTACAGCAACAGCGCTTTCTAACTCCGCCACCCAGCCCGACTTCACTGCCCAGATGGAAAGCTCCAGGAGACACCTACTTCTGGCTGGAGAAGAGGGAAAGGGGTCCCCACACACGGGAGAAAGAGTGGCTATCCCTCAGGTTCTCCCAAGGCAGCACCTGGGGCAGTAATGACTAGTATTTGTGTAATTAGAAGACCAGCAGAAGAAAGGGAAGCTCAGTTTAAGGAAGCTCAGCAAATGTGCAAAGGCGATGAATACAAAGACATCTATGCCCGGCACAGGCTGTGTGGGAGGCCCAGTGCTCCTGGTTACTAACCTGCATGGCACGTGTCTATACTGCGCACTGTAGGCAACTGTAACGCAAGGGCAAGGATCTGGGCATTCAAACATGTCCGAACATAGGGAAGGTGCAGCTAAACTGTGGTATAGGATGTAAAGAGTGGTGCGCCTGCACAGGACACTGATCAACACTGAGCTTGCAGGACTGAAACTGCTCTGGGTGAGCTGGTGAGTTGGAGAGTGAATGGGAAGGTCGAGGATCTTACTGTACACCACATAACAAAAACAAACACTGTAACTTAGGCTGCACTACATTTATTAAAAAGTTATTCTTTTGGGGACCAGCAGTTAGTGTAATGGCTATGTCACTGGACTCCCACGTAGTTGACCGCGGTTCGAGTCCCGGACCTGGTGGCTTAAAACTCAAACCAGGTGCGTGTGTGTGTGTGCCCAAGATCCTGAGAGGAGAGTGGAGGAGAAGGGATTGCCCCGGGGGGTGATTTCTTGCTTTCTGTCTTTCTGTCTCTTTCTATCTGGCGAGTGTACATGCCCTATAACAACAACAACAAAAAAGTTATTCTTTTGGACCAGCAGGTAGTGTGATGGTTAAGATGGTGGACTCCCACAAGTCCAACAGCGGTTTGAGTCCCAGACCTGGCAGCACGCTTTCTTACTTGATCTCTCTGTTTCTGGTGAGCACATGTGCTCTGTAGTGAACTGAAAGATAATAACACATAGTTCTCTTTAAAAAAGCTTCTTTCAGGACCAGCAGTTAGCATAATGGCTATGTTGCTGGACTCCCACGTAGTCGACCACGGTTTGCGTCCCAGACCCGGTGGCTTAAAACTCACGCCGGGCGCGTGTGCGTGCGTGCCCAAGATCCCGAGAGGAGAATGGAGGAGAAGGGATTGCGGCGTGACCATCTCCCCTGGGGGGTGATTTCTTGCTTTCTGTCTCTCTGTCTCTGTCTGGTGAGCATACGCGCCCTATAGCGAAAAACCTCTCCAAAAAAAAGCTTCTTTTTTCAGTAGTAAATGAATCTTATCTTACTATACCTATTTTACTTTGTATACTTTGAAAACTTTTTAATTTTTTGAGTTCTATAATAACACTCAGCCTAGAACACACTGTACAGTTGTACAAAATATTCTTTCTCTTTATATTCTTATTCCATAAGCTTTTTTCTTTTTTGTTTAATTGCCAGAGGGAGTGTGCATTTACTAGACAGAGGAGCTGGGGGTGGGAGAAAGCAGCACCCAATGGACAGTGGCCACACAACAACGCTGTCTTCCCTATTTCTCCATCCCGTCGTGATTGTGGGCACACGTGGCAGGGTGTTTCCTAAGCCCCTGAGCTGGGATTTGAACCATAGCGAGTCATGGCTTTCTATGCACTGCACTCAACCCCTGTGTTACAGAGTAGGCCCTGTATAAGCTTTTGTCCACTAAGTGTAACTTTGCAAGCTTTTTTCTAAAAGCACATACACATTACTTTAAGCCTACATAAGGTCTCAATAATCAGTATCACTATCTTCCGCTTCCATATTCTGTCCCACTAGAAAGGCCACAGTGAGCAAAAACACACAAGATTAAATCAAGTACAAGAGAAAACGGACCCAATCGAAGAGCTCAGCAAACATGAGCTATGAGGCTGCTGCTAACCTAACGAGGCATACACGGCTCTACGGTAAACTTCAGTAAGGAGGAGGACAGACCAAGACACACAGACCAGAAGAGCACAGCCATGCGCTATCACCACCAAGGGCAGGTGCTGTACACGGTGGTGTGCTCTCTCACACGACGCGCAGTGTGGCCGGCCTGAGGACACGAGCACCGCCAGAGACGCTACGTCTCCACGGGCGCACCACCACGAGACGGGGTTTTCAGCTCAGTGAGATTGGATGGGACCACTGCCAGTACATGTGGTCTGTCACTGACGGTGGCCGAATGTCATTTATATAGTCACTTATATATGTAGACTGTACATACTCCATATATAATATACAACTAATACATAGTGTTAATATATCATGTATCATATAGGGTCTAAATAAATGACTACATACAAATAATATTTGATCATATTAATATCTAATGTATATAGTCTATACATAATGAGTCTTAGTCTATAGATTATATGTAATATAGAGTTAATATAGTCTCTATATAATACATAGTCTCTCTATGTAAGTGACTAAATAAATAAATGGAAGAAAGGAGACGAACATTTCCTTTTAACAAATGTAGACTATAACAAATGTAGGTATACCCCATCCATAAATGAAACTTCATCTCCCCACCCCTTTGAGTGTGCACTGAAATTAGCAAATCATTTCCAAAGAACAAAATATGAAAAGACAAAAATATGAACTTCATAGTGGGTTGATCTCACAAACGTGACCTTTAACCAAGCGGCCTGTGATCATGTACTCCCTCAGATGATGTTGGGAGATGAGCACTTCGCCTCTGTCACTCTCCTCTAAAGCCCGTAACCTCGGTATAACCAGAAGAAAAACACCAGACAGATGCACATGGAGGGAAGTCTACACAACAGCCCACCCTAATAGCACTGGCACTCAAAGCCAGCAAGGCCATGAAAAACAGGCAAAGACGCACAGAACCTTGCAGACAGGAGACACAAATGCAGTGTGGAATCCCGGACTGGATCCTGAAAGAGGAGGCAGCTGGTGGAAAATCAGGCAACTCCGAGTGTGGAATCTGGAATGTGGTTAATAGTAAGGCACCAACGCTGGTCTCCTGATTTTGATAAATACACCTGGTTTTGTAAAACGTTATCATTATGGGAAGCTGGGTGAAGATATGAAGGAACTCTGAGTATCTTTGTAACTCTTCTATAAATCTAAAATTATTCTAAAATAAAGAAGTTGTATTTTTTTAGTGGACAGACCCATTCACCGAAAAGGATATATGTATGATCCCAAAAAGAAAAAAAAGGGGGGGGGCACTCAAGATGTTTATCAGATACTCCGTAAGTCTATTAGAACAACTAAATTGAAAAACTAGGCCTTGCAATGCTGGAAGCCAAATGGAAGAGGGTTCTGTTCCCCAACTGACCTGTACACAGCGGAGTGCACCTACACGCCCATCATCCGGGCTGGCTGAAAAAGCTAAGGGGAGGGGAGGGCTGCGGCATGGGACCCTGTTAAGGATGCTTCTCAATCATTTGTTCTCTCTCTTACATGGAAAAAAAATGATTGATTATATCAAGTGTGAGTAAATATGCAAAACTACTAGAAAACACATGTATTGCAGATGGGATACAAAACGGTAGTCATTCTAGAAGGCAATTTGGCAATTTCTTCAGCTAAAGCTAAATATATACTTACCACAGGACCCAGCAATCCCACTATGACACATTTTTACCCAAGAGAAGTTAAAGCCTGAACACCAATGTTTATGGCAGCTCTATTTAAAATAGTGAAAAAGTGGAATGCACATGTCCTTCAGTGAGTGAAAGCATGAGCCGTGGTACCGCTCTACAACTGCACACTGCTCAGCAACAGAAGGAAGGAAATGCTGACACGGAGGGTGGAATGCTGAGCAACTGCATGTGCAATGGTCCCGGATGGCCCTGTGCTGCATGGTACCATCTCGTGACCATTTCTAAAAAGTCAAAATACAAAACGCCAGGCATTAGGAGACGAGGAGGGCCCTGCGACAGAGGCAGCACGAGGGAGGTTCTGAGCTGATGGAGTTCTGAACTCTGACGAGCGCTACGTGGACCCACACGTTAGTTCACCGGCCATACACAAAAGCTATCACGTGTACTGCATGATTGCTGTTGAAATCCAGCTCCTGAGGGAACCAGCAGTTAGCGTAATGGCTATGTCGCTGGACTCCCATGTAGTCGACCGTGGTTCGCGTCCTGGACCCGTGGCTTAAAACTCAGGCCGGGCGCGTGTGCGTGCATGCCCAAGATCCTGAGAGGAGAATGGAGGAGAAGGGATTGCGGTGTGACCTTCCCCCCTGGGGGGTGATTTCTCGCTTTCTGTCTCTCTGTCTCTCTCTGTCTATCTGGCGAGTGCACGTGCCCTATAGCAAGAAATCTCTCCAAAAAGAAAAAACAAAACAAAACAAAACAAAACAAAAAAAAAAGAAATTCAGCTCCTGACAAACAAAAGAACATCTTTAAGTCAGCAAGGCCTTCCAGGATTCTTCATTTGGATTTTCCAGTCTGTTAAAAATCCTCTCGTTTATTCTGCTTACTTTCAAGATACAGTAAGTGACAAAGTTCTCCGCTCCTTCCTGACATGCGATGGGATGGGCAACCGAAATGGCAGCTCCTCTAGCTACGGTGTCACCTGCGAGTCTAATCTGCTACCAACCACGACCCACCTAATTGAAGAGTGAAGCCTGTCATCTGCTTAGTGGCATCATAAAGCAACTTTCATTAAAGATTTTTCTTTTTTCTTTTTTTTAAGAATACTGATTTACTGTCAGTACAGAATTCTGGGGTGGGATGGGGGTGGAATGTGATTCATTTAATTGCACAGAGACAATTCTGAAAGTGAAAAAGAAA